TTATTTTGTACATGTCTTGTAGATAACACTTTTTTCATTAAAAAATTTGTATTGGTCACATGAAAATCATAAAGTCACGTCTCTCTCTCTCTCTGGCCTCTCGTCAATCTTGCCTCCGCTGATTTTCATTCTTCATCTTAAGTTTTTGTAACAATTTTACTTGATTTTCCCTTTTCGGGTTCCGGGACTGTTTTCTTGATGAGCTTGAAGTAGAAGTGATTCTTAGCCACCAGTGATTTCATATTTTAAATTGTTGCTGTTCAATTAGGTTAATTAGAGCAAAAGAAATCTTGATGAAATCCCATAGTTCTGGGTTCATAAGTTGATGTGAAATATTACGCGAAGAAATCGAATTATTTTAAATGGGAAGTAATTGCAAGACTGTAGTGTGGTTTAGGAGGGATTTGAGAATTGAGGATAATCCTGCTTTAGCTGCTGCAGCAAGGGATGGGAGTGTATTACCAGTATTCATTTGGTGCCCAAAAGAAGAAGGTCAATATTACCCCGGTCGAGTTTCCCGGTGGTGGCTGAAGCAGTCTCTCATACATTTGAAGCAGTCTTTGAAATCTCTTGGGGCTGATATGGTATTGATTGAAGCACAGAACACTCTTTCTGCTCTTTTGGATTGCATCACTGCTGTTGGGGCAACAAAATTAGTATATAACCATCTTTATGGTAAGCTTTTGTTCTTGCTGTTTTCAGCTAACTACATATTTTATGTGCAAGTACTAAGGATCAAATCAGTAGATTTACGAATGAACTGACCAGATTTGGAGAGCAGGATTCAAGTGGCGGAGTCTAAATTTATTGGGAGTAGGTTTGGTGTTCTTCTAGTAGGTGAATTGGATAAACTGACTCAATTTGTTCTTTTCGGCTAATTATATCTTTTGGTGTAGCTGTTAAGAATCAAGTTCTTTCAGTAGATTAGCGATGGATTGAACATAGCGGCGAAAAACGACTCATGATGCAGCTGACTCTAAATTTAGATTGGAATCGATGCTTAGTTTGTTGTTGTTGTGCAAGAATTAGAATAAAAAGTTTGGTTCTAAGCTAGTAGATTAATTATATAAGTCGAATCAGTTGGACTAAACAGTTGAGCTCTTTTAAGTTGCTTTTTTTATTCTAAAGTCATGTAGTAAACAGAATTTAAAACGGGAAGCTAAAGGATAATTAATAGAAATTGAAAATCACATGGTGGAAATCGCAGTTTTTGCTAGGAAAATATGCATTCAGTTTAATTGATCTTCCTAGGTTGTAATACATCCTATAATGAGTTCTAATGTTCCTTTCTTTCAGGATGAGAGTTAATTTTAGTTAGCATATCTATGACCTTCTCTGGCATTTTGTACTTGAGGAATATGGGAATGTTTTTAGCTATATTTAACTATATAATAATCTTTTTGATGCATCTTTAAACCCGTTTTAAAATAGAAAGTTCAACAATACACTGTGATGCTGAATAAATAGACAGTCTTGTTCTGCATATGCTAATCTTGTTCATTTAAAATCCTCATAGCTCCCATGAATTTAATGATTCACTTTGGTGTGCCATGTCACCGGTGCTTAACATAAGCTAAGCACCGACGCCTATTAGATCATTTCTCTCTCTCTCTCTATATAGGCGTGTGTGTATGTATGCATATATTTTCTTATCTATTTACATTCAGGTTTTCACAGTTCTAATTACTTGAATTGTTTTCTCTCCATTTCCAGATCCTGTTTCACTTGTTCGTGATCACAATATTAAACAAAAGTTGGGTGAGCTTGGCATTACTGTGCAAAGCTATAATGGAGACTTATTGAACGAGCCTTGGGAAGTATATGATGACAATGGACATGCTTTTACTAGGTTTGATGCATATTGGCAAAAGTGCTTATTCATGCAAAGACAACCTGTTTCGCATCTTCCTCCATGGCATTTGGTGCGAGCTGAAGGTATGCTGTATATTTACCAAAATGCTTCGTATGGTTTTACTTAGAATTGCAGTATATCATTCAAATTATCAGTTTGTTGTTTGTGTAGTCTCATTCCTTTTTACCATTTCAAGCAGTTATATAGACATGGACCTTGTGAGTCAATGCAGAACAGTCCACTAGCTGAAAGGAAGAATGAGAATGAAATAAGAAATAGAAAAAGAAAGTGTGGAGAAAATCTAAAAGAGAAGACTGAATAGTTGTTTGTCTGTTGTATTGACAGGAATTACTGAAAAGTGTTCGATCGAGAAATTAGGTCTTGAAGATGAATCAGAAAAGTCTAGTAATGCCTTATTGGGAAGAGGATGGTCACCTGGTTGGAGCAATGCTGATAAGGCTCTAACAGATTTTGTAGAGCATCATCTGCTAGACTACTCAAAGGATAGACTCAAGGTTGGTGGGAACTATACATCCCTCTTGTCCCCTTATCTTCATTTTGGGGAACTCAGTGTTCGAAAAGTTTTCCAATTGGTGCGTACAAAGCAAATACTTTGGAAAAATGAACAAAACTCTGTTGGAGAAGAGAGTGCAACTCTTTTCCTTAAGGCTATTGGGCTTAGGGAGTATTCCCGCTACATCTGTTTTAACTTCCCGTTTACTCATGAAAGATCGTTGCTGAGCAACCTGAAATTTTTCCCTTGGCATGCTAATATGGCGCATTTTAAGGCTTGGCGACAGGGCCGAACTGGTTATCCATTGGTTGATGCTGGAATGAGAGAGCTTTGGGCCACTGGGTGGATTCATAATAAGATTAGAGTAATTGTTTCGAGTTTCTTTGTAAAGTTTCTCATTCTTCCATGGCAATGGGGAATGAAGTATTTCTGGGACACACTTCTGGATTCAGACTTGGAAAGTGATATCCTTGGTTGGCAATATATTTCAGGAAGCTTGCCTGATGGGCATCAGCTTGAGCGTATGGATAACCCACAGGTTATAATACAGAATCCCTATTTTTTGCAATGGAATACAATTTCATGGATTTTTTTCCCTTCTATTAAGATTGCATGTCTAGCTTTGTTGCTTAAAATTTATGTGCAAGAAGAAAATACTTACCTGTGGCATGGTTATATGGTATAATTATACAATTTTTTATTTTTATTTTTTAATCTATTATATGCAGAAATAACGAATTGTCAGTGGCTTGGAGTTTGTGCATCACTAGTTCCTCTAACTTTTAAGTTGGGAACTGTCAACTGTGGGAATTGAAACACATGCACAAACAGGAAATATATGTGAAATTCTTTAGCTTTAATGAAAGGCCTTCATAAAATCCTCGTAGAATCGAGAATGAAGTTTTCATTCTGTACATGTCAAGATTATGAATTATTAACTGCATCCAATTTCCTTCATTATTGGAATGGGATAGGATCAAGATCAAACCTTATTCCATGGTATTTGCATGAGGAACTTTACATTTTTGGAATGAAAGCACTCAACTTGGAAAATTAGATGCTCTGGTGCATTCTGATGCTTGTAGTCCCATATCAATTAGCACATTGGTGCATGTTATTTTGTTGAATTTTTTCATAGAAAAATGTGAACCGAAGCTTTAAAAATAAAGATCTCATGTTGCAAATATTCAATCTGTTTCACGTTGATGCTAAAAGAGAAAGTGCCAGAATCGAAATGTAATTGTATAGATAATGGTAGTAAGGGTAATTGGCACAAAACGTCCTTACCTTTCAAGTCCATTGTGGAAAACGTCCCTACCTTTCATTTTTTGGCATTTTTGCCCTCATTTCAACCTTTCTTTGCGCTGGACGTCCTTCCGTCCATATTCCGTCAATTTTTCCGTTAATTAAAGGGTAATTGGCACAAAACGTCCCTACCTTTCAAGTCTATTGTGGAAAACGTCCCTACCTTTCATTTTTTGACATTTTTGCCCTCATTTCAACATTTCTTTGCGCTGGACGTCCTTCCGTCCATATTCCGTCAGTTTTTCCGTTAATTAAATACAAAAATACCTTTTTCTTTCCATAAACAAGGGTAAAATTGTCCTAACCCATTTCACCCCTTTTTCCTACCATCAACTTAGTCCATAAGTAACAGTAGCAGCAACATGAATCTGAAAATACTTTAAATGATTAAGTTAAATAAAGAAAAAATATCGTGAACACATTATATTTCACAATTCCACAACTACTGTTGCTGTCATCTTGTGTCACTGGAAAATTTTAGAAAGACATATTAAATGGGTAGTCAATTTATAATGAGCCAAAATGGTGAATGGCTCTTTTTGGCTCAATGGAGAAGATGAATGGCTCATTTTAAATTGACTCATTATAAATTGACTACTCATTTACTTCAAGCTACCTTCAATATAATGGTGGTCTACCTTAACATGTTTGGTTCTAACACGTATATTTTGTTTCTTGTGGTTGTCTTAGCTTGTTATTTAATTTTCCTATTCATATTCACATAGAGGGAAAAGGAAAAGATGGTGTTCACTTCATTTCGACCACCAAGATTAACTTATTAGTTCTGAAACCCCGAAGATAAACTTACATTTCATCTTCGTTGATCCTTTTTCTCAATTTGTTTTCCAGGTTCAGGGATTCAATTTTGACCCGGAAGGTGAATATGTGAGGCAGTGGTTGCCTGAGCTAGCAAGAATGCCGGCTGAATGGATTCATCACCCATGGGATGCACCTCTTATCGTGCTTAAAGCTGCAGGAGTGGAGCTAGGATTTAACTATCCAAAGCCTATAATTGATATTGATCTGGCCCGAGATCGACTAACAGAAGCCATAATGGTCATGAGACAAAAGGAAGCAACTGCAAAGTTAGCGAATGCCAGTGGAACAGATGAAGTTGTCGATGATAACTCAGACACTTACGAAATTGAGGCCATTCCAAAGGTAGTGTTGAAGGAAAAGATTCCTTGTCCTACAAGCTCGTCCTATGATCAAAAGGTACCATCAATGCAACTAGTCAAGAATAGTCTACTGAATAAAAAGAGACCAAAGCCCACAGAAGATGAGAAGCAGCTAAAAAATGACTTGCATAGTTGCGACAAGGGAGATTCTAAACCAAATGACGACTTGTGCTCTACTGCAGAATCTTCTTCTACAAAGAAGCAGACAACTTGCAGTAGAAATTCTTTTTCTGTTCCCGAAACCTTGTCTTCAATTTCAAAGGACAATTATAAACAGGGCCAAGACTCTTATCACCCCAAGCATGGAATTTATGATGAGATTGACCTGTGAGAGACGTCAAGCAAACACGGTAAGATGCTGCAACTAAAAGGACCTGTTTTCTTTGCTGCTTTTATGCTGGTAAAAGCTCAAATTATATGATCCTTTTATAAGGTAATTGAAGATTTTTATTTTATTTTGCCTGCCTTAATAGCGTAACTTGAATCGCAGAATTGATGTTAGTCGCTTCTCTCCCAGGAGTGCAACGGTTTAGATATTTCTTATAGTTCCCAGTTTATACACAGAGAGAGAGAGAGCGAGAGAGAGAGAGAGATTATTGACCCAGTTTCTGCTTCTGTGAGAAGGTTTCAGTATTATGGTTAGATGATGAAGAATCTATACATATTAACGTTATTCTTTAATAAAACCACAAGATACCGTGGCTTTTAATTATCTGGATTTTTTGTTAATAAGATGACCACAAGATTAAGGAGAATTAGGAGGATATATAATCATCCCGTGTAGTTTCAACAAGCTTCTTCAAACCAAGTTAGCTGCTTTGAGAATGCAATTATGTGCAAGAGCCCTAGTGTATTATGACTCTACAAAATTACTTTATGAAGGAAATTTGAGGTTCTGATGATAGAAAAAAATACGGGAACTTAAATACATCTTTTCTGTATGCAGGAGCCACATGACTGCAGATTCCTCCAGAACCTTTTCTGGTGAGATCAAGTAATATATAAATGCTGCAGACAGTATGTCTTAGTCACTTGTAAAATAAGTACTCGATATTTAAATAAATATTATTCTGTTTGTTTTCTTTGTTAGCTTGATCTTATAATAGTCTTGGCAGTACATTTATGTACGTTGAATAGTTTTATGTGAATAAAAATAAGCCTGTTACTCATAATTCCCTAGGAAATTCATTGTATCAAAGCACTAGTTTCTTCACTGAGTATTCCAAAATCTACCCAATATTTTGTGAGAGTTTTTTCCATGGTTTCATTCGTATGAACTGTCTAAAGTTTTGTGTAACACAACACCTGAAGGGAAGGGCTTCTCCTTTAACTTTTAAGTAATCCTTAGTTGTTTGTTATCATCAAAACGTGATCAAAATTATTATGGTAGCTCAACCCGATTATCTTGACAATGGGTGGATGTTAAGCTGCTATAAAAGTTTGTCGAAATTCTCAATTTGTCTTAATAGAGACTATTAAAAATTGGTCGGTAATGATAATTGTGGAAGACATGACAACATTTTTAATTAACACGAATTGACATTGTTTAAACTTTTCTAGTTCGCCCCACTATTTTTCACTTGTTTGCACTGCATAACCGAATTAATTGGCATTTAAGCAAACGATAACGCTTAAGATATTGTTTACAATTATCAGAAAATCCAAAGAATTTTTTTGCTCAAGACCCTTTGGTTTCTTCAAAAAACGCTAAAATAGAGCCTCCAATCTTCGAAGATCCATGCTAGATAATTTAATCATTGGTCACTGAATTTTGCTATAGATTACTACTTGCTCACTAATCTTTAAAAGATTACTCGTTGCTCTTTGAACTTTATTATATGTTTCTACTTGCTTATCGAAATTTAAAAGGTAACTTATTGCTCAAGTAAATCTAAACAAGGTTATTTGTTGCTCACTGAACTTTGCTATAAATAACACTGATGAAAAATGATATTTGTGATTGATGGGCAACTTTGTTCAATTTTGAGTGAGCAATGAGTAATCTTTTAAGTTTCAGTGAGCAAGTAGTAACATATATTAAAGTTCAGTGAGCAACAGGTAACTTTTTAAGAAATCAGCGAGCAAATAGTAATCAATAACAAAGTTTAGTGACCTTTGATTAAATTGATTCTATCCATGCCCATGCACTTAGAAATTCTTGTTATTAAACTCGGACCGGACCAGCCGGCCCAACTATAAACCCGAACCGGACTATGGTCCAGTCCGAATCTCATGAGGGGACTGTTCAGCATTCAAATCGATCTAAAATCAGACGAGCCGGCCGATTTTAATAAAGAACCGATGAACCGGTTTGAACTAACTCGCCGGTTTACTATAAATGACTCAATTTTGATGATATGTGGAATTGATCCCTTGGCCTTTAGCAATCAACACTCATTACGGACTGTTGGGATACAGTTGGCAGTTGTCTTAATGCTTCATACTATAATATATATCACTTGTTTTAAAGAATTTCAACCATTCCACTAAACTTCTATTGCTAATAGAATAACTTGAAAATCTTTTATAATATCAAGTGTACGTAAAAATTTGGAAGAAGATGTTCATTATTTTTGTGAAATAAAATAAACTATTCAAGACTTCTTTATTATTTTTTTTTAAAAAAAATAATCGTTATTCACAATGTATAACCCACAGTTATTAAAATCGGATCGGTCGATTTGGACTGAGAATGGTTCAAACCTTGGCTTCCTAGGAAATTTGTGATCTTCGGTCATATATCAGGAGTCAAACATATATATTTAGATTTAGCAAAATAGTTTTCCTTTTACTTCAAAAATATATTTTAATTAAAATTACAATTTAATTGTATGTTATCACAATACTACATAACTGAATTATTTGGCATTTCAGCAAACGATGACGCTTAAGATATTGTCTACAATTATCAGAAAATCCAAAGAATTTTTTTTGCTTAAGATCCTTTGGTTTCTTCAAAAAACACTAAAATAGAGCCTCCAATCTTCAAAGATCCATTGGGTACACGTCCATATCCATGCCAGATAATTTAATCATTGGTCACTGAAATTTGTTATAAGTTACTACTTGCTCACCAATGTTTAAATGATTACTCGTTGCTCATTGAATTTAATTACATGTTATTACTTGCTTATGGAAATTTAAAAGGCAACTTATTGCTCACCTAAATCTAAACAAGGTTATCTGTAGCTTACTAAACTTTGCTATAAATAACACTGATGAAAAATGATATTTGTTATTGATGGGCAATTTTGTTCAATTTTGAGTGAGCAATAAGTAATCTTTTAATTTCGTTGAGCAAATAGTAACATATATTAAAGTTCAAATAGCAGTAACCTATAGCAAAGTTCAGTAACGATTTATTAAATTGACTCTATCTATGCCCATGCGCTTGGAATGGTCTCTCTCCCCCAACCACACCCTAGAGCCTACCCGACTATAAGGCCGAGGAAATACCTACAAATAACCTAAATATAATAGTGAATTATGAGATTAGATCTAAAAATACAATCATTTGAAGAATAGTGTTTGAATTATTATCTTTCCAAAAATACCCCCTCATAGAGAATTTGCAACCAAAGCCATTACGATGTATAAAAACCTTCAATTAGCTCCCCAAAGAAATATAGATCATGAATCTTTAATAAATTTAACCTCAAATATTACACAAAATTTTATTGATTTAAGAAATGCAGCAAATAATAAATTCAATTATTTAAAAGAAGATCTAAAGAGTTTCTTTACAGAATAGTTAGATCCAAAATTAAAGTATAGAAATGTTTATATAGATAATAGAGCAATCAAAATAGAAAATAATATACATAAACAAATTCTTAAACTGGAAAGAAGAATTAACATATTAAATATAATTGTTAAAGAAAAGGTTTTGACAAAAGATAGTGAATTTTATAAATTCTATTGGAATATTTTATATACTTATAAAGATTTTAATTGGATTCAAAATCTTAACCCCTCCGCTGCACACTCTAACGAAATGGTATCAGAGCCATATTACGAACCTAAAATTATGATGAATTTAGTATATGAAGAAAATATAATTGAAGAATTTTTGAGAAAAGTTAAAAAACATAAAAAATCAAGTTATCCCTATTTACCTAAAAACACCACAAATAAAAGTTTTGAGGATATAAATAAAAGACTAGAAAATCTAAAATATAATTTACAAGTAGGAAATGCTCTTTTAGATAAAAATCTTAAAGGAAAAGATATGATTATAATTAATCTACTTCAAGATTTTAGGATAACACAAAAAGAAAACAATAAAGGTAAAAAACATGAAGAAAATCAATATATGATTACAGATATAGAAGAACTAGAACAAAAATTCTTAGAATCTACTGGTGAAATGCATGATGAATATAAAAAACAGTTAGAAGAATTGATTGAAAAAATGGAAAATATAAAGATGAATATTAATCCATCAACAAGTCAAAATATAAAAATAGAATTCAGTAGTGACGAAGAATATGATTATCCTTATTATACAACGATACCTATTAAAGAAGATATTAATCAATATAGGAAAACACAGAAAAGATACACTGGAAATATAAGAAAATAATCCATAAAAGAAACAAATCCAATGAAATCTTATAATGAACCAATCCATACAATAGGAATATGGTTGGATCTAGATTGTGTAGATAAAAATAAAGCTATTGAAACATGGATGAAAAGTACAGATTTAGCAATACAATTTAATAAATGGGAAATATACAGTTTTTGAATTTATAGAACATACATTCAAGGGAATTGTTTTTGAATGGTGGAGAAAGTTACCATAAACTATAAAAGAAAGAATAAAGTATGAAGAAAATAGAACTGAAATATTAGATAATAGGAATACTTTAAATGATCAAAATATGGAAGAAATATTAAAAAGGTTTGAACTAGCCTTAAGAACAGAGTTCTTGGGAGATAAATATGCTTCTAATGAAGAAGAAAAAAACAAGATGAATATAATGAAGGAATGATAGCAATAGAAAATTTAAAGATATGTGACATGTGTGAATTAGAAAGATATACATGTAAATTTGAAGAATCATACTATATATTAAATCAAGGAAATTATCAAGAAAATAAACCTATATTAAAGTCTTATTTTACGAAATTATCATTCCCATGGGAATTCAGCTATTAAAAGAATATGAGAAATTATTACCTCTAAGAGAAGAGGGAGGAGTAAAAATAGATAGTCTTGAAAGTGAGATTAAATTTACAAAAAAAATGATAGGCATGTGGTGCAGAGAAGCTTTAGAAAGTAGGAAAACATATAAAATAAGAAAGAATTCCTTGTGTTGTTACAAAGATATAGGCCAAATTGAACAATTTGGATGACATAAGAAGAAATATAAACCATATAAGAAAATTCAAAAACTACAAAAAATTTAAGAAAAGAAATTTTAAACCACACAAAAAATATTTCAAGAAAAGAAATTGGAATAAAAAATCCAAATCAAGAAATATTAAAAAAATGTAGATGTTTCATCTGTAATGAAGAATGACACATTGCCCCTCAATGTCCTAAAAAGAATTATAGACAGAATATAAAAACTCTTAGAATTTATGAAAAATTCCCAAGAAGATAGTGATATAGGACCAATTGAATATTTTGAAAATTTAAGTAGTGAATGCAATAACATTTATGAATTAGATACATCTTCAGGGGAAGATTTTGAAGAGACAGTATATATGAATCAAGATATACAACAAGCAGATCTAGAAATAGAAATAGAAACAACTGAAGAAGTTGAAGACTCGATAGAAGTTATAAATCAAGAAATTACCTTTGATATTAAAAAATACAAAAGAATAACCAAGAAAATAATAGACCTACAAGAAAAAGATGTATTCCATCAAGGATTCTTAGGAATACTACCAAGAGTAAATAAAACAATTGTAAGTATGAATTATAAAGAAATGTCTATCAATATAGAAGATACTATATGAAAAACAAGAATTCCTATAATTACAAAAGAATGAGTAAAACAAAAGTTATCCAAAATTCCTGAAAATATAAGAAACAAGTTGAAATGTATTGAAATAGAAGGAGTCCAAATAATGGTAAAATGATTATTTAGAAAATATATGAACGTACCAATAGAAATATATTTTATGGACAACAGAATCCTACAAGATCCTATAAATGCTCTATTAGGAACAGTTGTAGGAAACTTAGTCTATCAAAAAATA